GTAGGAGGATCGGGAGTTCTAGGCCAGCCTCAACCATATAATAAATTTTAGGGTAGCCTAGGTCATGTGAGATTCTTTATTTTTATTAAAAAAAAAAAAAAAAGGAAGGCATGGTGGCATAAACATCTTTAATCTCATCACTTGGGAAACAGATGTGGGTAGATCTCTACATAGTGAGCTCCTGTCTCAAAACAACAACAACAAAACAGGCATGGTGGTATAAATCTGTAATCCTAGCACTTGGAAGACAAAGACAGGAAGATTGCTGCAAGTTCAAGGCCAGGCCAGCTCCATCTATATAGCAAGTTAGAAGCCATCTGGGGCTGCACATATGACTTTGTCTTAGGGAAAGAAGGAAGAAAGGAATGCTGAACCTAGTACCGGGAACTGAAATCTCATGCTCTCCCACACTCCCTGCAGCCCTGCCCAACCACAGCTTTGTAGCAGTAACACTTCCTGAGACAGTGGGGGCTGCTTAGGTCCTTGAGTTTGCTTCACACCACAGCCCTTTTCTGCTCTGGCATTCCCTCCTGAGAATTTCCCAGCTGCCGCTCAGCTTTGTTAAATTTGCCCTATGTGTTAACTAGTTTTTGTTTGTATTTTGGGAAGTGTTTGGTTTTTTTGTTTATTTGTTGTTGGGTTTTTTTGTTTGTTTGTTTTTTGGGGGGAACTTGCTCTGTAGACCAGGCTGCACTTGAACTCACAGAGATCTCTGTCTCTGCCTCCCAAGTGCTAGGATTAAAAGTGTGAACCACCCCCACCACCCGGATGCTTTTTGTTTTTTAATGGGTGCTAGAAGTGGAACCAGCTCCTCATACATATTAAGCACATGCTGTATTGCCAAGTTTTACACTTTCCAGCTTCAGCCTTACTTTTCAAAAAGAGCAGACAGAGGGGCTAGAGACATAGCTGAATGGTTAAGAGTACTTGCTGCTCATGCAGAGGGACCAAAATTTTATTTCCAGCACATACGTGGTGGCTCACAGTCCTAGTCCAGGATCTCTAATAACCTTGTCTGGTCTGGCTTCTTTGAACACTGTACACATGTGGTACATGTGCATAAATGCAAGCAAAATAACTCATACACGTTTAAAAAGAACAAATGAAGGAAGACAGGATGCCCGCTGCTGCGCTATGCCTCTGTTTTCCATTTCTGTTACTGTCTCAGAGGTCTGTGTTATTGCCCCTGCTCGTGGTGACCGAGTCTCACTGCTCCTGTCCTTTCTGATCAGGAACAAGATCACCATGATCGCCGAGCCTCTTGAGAAGGGCCTGGCTGAGGACATTGAGAACGAAGTGGTCCAGATCACCTGGAACAGGTTAGAGGGCTCTGCTTCAGGCCTCACACTGCAGCTCCTTTGCCCGTTCCTGTGATGCCAGCCACCCTTCCTTTGTTGTCCTGGATGATTTGAGCAGACTGGGTTACTGTCTTCCAGAAAGGAAGGATCTGTGGCCCCAGGAGCCACTTTCTCTTTTTTCCAGGAAGAAGCTGGGAGAGTTTTTCCAAACAAAGTATGACTGGGATCTGCTGGCTGCCCGTTCCATCTGGGCCTTCGGTCCTGATGCTACAGGACCAAACATCCTAGTGGACGACACATTGCCCTCAGAGGTAGGGTACACTGATGGGAGGCTGGGAGGCCTGTGGCAAAGCATATGCCCTTGAGTGAGGAAACTGCAGTGTCCTCTTCCCTGTTGAAAGAGTGGCTCACACAGCCGTACTTTCCTCCTTCTAACTCAGTGGCTGTTGTCAGTGGACTGCTAAGGAACCCTAATGTTTCTCTGTAGGTGGACAAGGCACTTCTTGGCTCAGTGAAGGACAGCATTGTTCAAGGTTTCCAGTGGGGAACCCGTGAGGGACCTCTCTGCGATGAATGTAAGTTCACCATCAACTTCCTGATCTCAGTCCCCAGGACACTTGCACCTAGCTGCATGAGGTGACGACATAGAGATGGGTTTCCTGTCTTTGGGACTCAACAGGAAAAGCAACTTGGGGTACACTGGGCTATCCCAAGTCTTGGGTTAGCCTCCTCCCTGCTCCCTTCCTATCTCAGTGCCATCACTTGCTACAACCCTACGTTTGTTCTTAACTCCTGAGTAGAACCTGTCTTTGGTGTGCTGAAGAGAGATACGTGAGGGTAATCAGGTTGGAGTGGTTTATTGATACAGATTAGGCTACGTAGGAACAAATGCAATTTCTAGAACATAGTTTAGACAACTGTTCAGAACCATCAAGATAGACTTGTAAAAAATGGTTCATTGTCATAGCATGGCCTGAATCAGACTCTAAGTCCATGTTCAGCTGCTGACCTGTTTGCTACTGGCCTTGCTGATCTGATGGGTATTTGTGTCTCTTTGGCTGGCTGCACTATGGTCTCAGTGTAGCAAGTTACCCTCCAATTTTGCCATCCCCCTGTGACTAGCCCCACCTCTCCCGTATCCTTTTCAGTGATCCGGAATGTCAAGTTTAAGATCCTAGATGCTGTGGTTGCCCAGGAACCCCTTCATCGGGGTGGAGGCCAGATCATCCCCACAGCCAGAAGGGTGGTCTACTCTGCCTTTCTCATGGTAAGTGGGACTACAGGGAACAGTTGACTTCCCTGGACCGAGAATTAAGTGGAGGACCAGGCTGAGCCCTGTCTTGCTCTGTTGCAGGCCACTCCTCGTCTGATGGAGCCTTACTACTTTGTAGAGGTTCAGGCCCCTGCAGACTGTGTGTCTGCTGTTTACACAGTCCTGGCCAGGCGCAGGTGAGGCGCTTGTTGGTAGGGTGGGTACTTGACAGCAAGAAGCCCTTGGCTGCTGAGGGAGGGGGAGGAGGAGATGGCCCCAGCTGTTGCCCTCTCCACCTTTCCACTCCAGAAGCTCACAAGCAAGTAGAAGAGAACTGAGGCGGCCCCCGGCTTTACCATAGGCAATGGCTGGGGTTTCTTCTGAACTGAGGTGGCCCCCGGCTTTACCATAGGCAATGGCTGGGGTTTCTTCTGGGGCCCCTCCCTCCTGAGCTCCTGGGAGAATTGCAAAGTGAAGCAGTGATAGGGTTGTCCCTGCTCGTGCCCCCTCCCCAGAGGTAGTTGCTTCGCTAAGAGCCCGCCAGGTGCACACCTTTAGTCTCAGCACTCGGGAGGCAGATGCAAGAGGCCAACCTGGTCTATCAGGCCTGATTCCAGGATAGACTCCAAAACTATACAGAGAAACGCTGTCTCAAAAACAAAACAACAACAACAAAACCCAAAAAGAACCCCAAGCCCATCCCTCTGCAGAGCGTGTTCCATTAGGCCTTTATTGGGTGGTGCTGGCCTAGGATATGCATTGCCCTTGTCTTGGGGCCTGTGTACAGCCCAGGCCTTGGCCTTTGTCTTTCTCTCTCAGGGGACATGTGACTCAGGATGCACCCATACCAGGCTCCCCTCTCTACACTATCAAAGCTTTCATCCCAGCCATTGACTCTTTCGGCTTTGAGACTGATCTGCGCACGCACACCCAGGGGCAGGCCTTTTCCCTGTCCGTCTTCCACCACTGGCAGGTGAGGAGACCTGGCCACCTTGGCCTCTCAGTTCAGCACCCTGCCCTCCTGGCCATTTCCTCTTCTGTCCAGGATCTTCTTCCACAGCCCTGGAGAAGGCTTCTCCTTCAGGGCCTGAATCCTCTGGGAAGCTGCCTTGGCTAACTGAAATCTCTGTGTTCCAGATCGTGCCTGGTGATCCTCTGGACAAGAGCATTGTCATCCGCCCGTTGGAGCCACAGCCAGCCCCTCACCTGGCCCGGGAGTTCATGATCAAAACCCGTCGTAGGAAGGTAGTTCTTCAAACCATTCCCACCCCTCCGTCCCCAGGGTCTCCATGGGAGTTGTGCGTGCTTTTTCTTTCCCTTGGAGGGTAGTGTACTGCTGTTTGGAAAGATCAGTCCCTTTATTGCTCAGCTAAGCAGACATAGGGCCCAAAGGGAACAGAGGAGCTTTAACTGTACCTTAAAGGCAAGTCCTCAGACAGTCTAGACCAGCCTTCCCACTCCAGCACAGGGACCGATGCCCCTGTGTTCAGTTACCTTTCCTGTGGAGCTCACCCTAGCGTCTGACTTCATTCTCTACAGGGCCTGAGTGAAGATGTGAGCATCAGCAAGTTCTTCGATGATCCTATGCTGCTGGAACTTGCCAAACAGGACGTTGTGCTCAATTATCCCATGTGAGAGCCGTGGCCGGCAGCTCCCGCTCCTCCCTGCGGTACCCGTAGCCCTGGACTCAAGCTGAGACCTGCGGAGCTGGGCCTTCGTGCTCTGAGCGGGAACTGCTATGGCCCCTTCTGAGCAACCCAGAAACCTCCATGCCAGTGTCCCAGGGAGGAAGGGACATCTGGCCTCCCGGATCCTTCTGTAGCCTCTGCCTGGCTCCATTCCCAAGGAACAGAGAGGAGCTTGGGCCCGGGAAAGAAGAACGAACAAGAACAGGATAAAAGCGGTTAACCCCAAGGGGCCTGTCTTCAGGATTTACATGGAATTTTGTTTCTTACAAGTTCAACCCTAGCCATGGTTTGTAAATGAACAGAACATTCTGCCCTTTGCCTTGGTTGCTGCTTTCGTCCCCCTCACCCCGCCCTCTGCCTGTCTAATCTGAGCACTTACATTCTGGGTATGTGATTTCCCATGAGGCATTACTGCCTCTGCTCCCAGCTGCAGCTGCCTTCCTGACAGGGTCCCTAGGGGGCAGCCCATGGTGGAAGGAATGCCTGTGTCTGATTCAGTGTTCCCAAGAGCCCAAGGCCCCTCCCCAGCCCCCACTTTCCCATTCCCATTCCCATTCCAGGCTGCTTCTGGCTGGACATGACATGGTACAAGAGTCGCTGGGACCCTGGGAACTGTGGTGGCGTCCTAGGAGACTGCTGCACCTTAAGTCTCTCTCCCTTGAGTTGAGGCCAGAGCCCTTTGGTTCCCACCCATTGTACGGGGCCCACCCTCCATTACCACAGTTCCTTTGCTCTGCTCTACTCATGAGTAAGACACTTAACTTTCTTCAACATCGTTTTATTAGTTTCTTAAAGAGACACTGGGGAATTGGGCCATCCTGCCGCCTCAGGAGTCCGACTTTTCAGGGTCCTCTGACACCCTCTTGATGTAATCTCTGTACATTGTATACATGGCTCCTGCTCAAAGAAGGAAGGGAAGTGCCCGCTGGTGTCTGAGCCCTGGATCCTTTTCCCCATCCCGACGGCTCTATTCTAGCTTTTCCTGGAGACCCACCCAGCTTTCCTCATCCTTCTGCCCCAGGCCCCAACAGCTGCCCCAGACATCCATACTCAGGGAGCAACACCTCACAACAGTTCATACACTTTGATGTGCTGATTGGGCTAGCCAGAGGTGGTTCTTATGCATGGGGAAACTGAGGCCCAGTGAAAGGGACTATAGCCCACAGTCACAGCTCACAAGTAGCTGTTCCTTCCTAGCTCTCACATCTGGAGGAAATTCATGAAGCAGGCTGTCTTCATAATGTCCTATTGCCCGGCAACAGTGACCAATGGGGAGCCCTGGAAAGGCCTCAGCGCAGGGATTCATTAAGGAATTCATGTGGATTCCAGTGTGGGCAGCGGGGACTTGAACTTTGGACCAGTTAACTACTGACACGCTGCTTTGTCCCTCTTCTTCCCCTGATCCCCACCACACTGCTTACCGAGCATGATTGCACCCACAGCACATGCTTGTGCTGCCACTCGGGTGTGAATCAGATGTATGGACAACTTGGTAGAACCGCGAGCTTTCAGCCGGTAAATCCTGTACGCGGCTACCACCAGGCAGCCTCCGACACCTGGAGGCAGAGAACGCAGTCACTAGGCCTGTGTCCAGGTCCAGGGTCCCTTAACTCCCCTCTGCCCTTGCAGGTTGGGCACTGTGCACTAAGCGGATTATTTCATGCATCTAAGTTTGGAATATTACGTTTTCTCTCAATGGCACTGTTTAAGTGCCTGTGGCCTTTATGATGCCCCTTCCCCATGTTCAGGAAGTTCATTGTCATGATGATACATAACCCCACTCCTGGCTCCCACCTCTGTACATAGTCTGGAGCCTGGAAGAGAAACCTTGGGACAATACCCAGTTGCAATAAAGACCCCTATCCTGAGGCTTCTGTTAGTACCCTGTGTCCCAGTGCACTTTGCCTTCAGTCAGCTGCCACCTCCAGCCATGCAGACTCGCTGTATTGTAAGTCTGTTCCTTGTGCAGTGGGTGGACCACTTGAGTTCTCTTACCTTCTCATTCTTTGAAAGGACTAAGTCATGAAGTCCCAGAGAGGAGGCATCCATCCCAACCCTGTTCTTCCCCCACTCACCTATAGGCACCAGTGGAGACTCCCTGGTCTTCCTTAGGAACTTCTCAGTCAGGTTGTCCTCACCCTCAGGTGGCACCCACCAGCCCTTGTTAGCAGACATGATTCCCGCTCCAGATGTTAGCAGCTGTGTGCCTAGGCTTCAGCCTAGCCCTAGAAGGAGGTAGTCTGCAGTGACTCTGATTCTTAGTCTTCAGGGGGAAGAGAGAGATTACCTGCTAAGACCTTACCATGCCCAGCACAGCCTGCACTTGAAGAGATACCCTGTTCTCCGGTGTTTGGCCACTGGTAGCTACTTTCTTCATGTCCCTAACATCTGCCTCCTCTCTAGTTCATCTGACTTTTCCTGATCTCTTCCTTCCTGCTCCGTATCTGCATTGCTATGGGTGTGATCCTCTGGCCAAGAAAAACAGCCGGAACAACCCAGAGTAGACTGGAACAGTCTGAGTCTTGGGGCCCCTTTGGTCTTGGATCTGTTGACAGTTGCTCCTAAGGGAACTACAGAGGAAGGTCTGGCTCTAGGGAGCCAAAACTGTCCCAGGCAGATGCAACAATGGTTAACAAAACCACTGGAGCAGATGTCAATGAGACATTGGTATATTTTGCACCTCAAGACTGAAGGAACAAATTCTGGTCCTCAAGCTGCTCACCAGCCTACTACCTCCATCCTGAGCTCCTTGTGAACCCCTAAAAATGTCTACTCTGATTATAGCTAAAGTCAGTCCTCTGAGGAGGGGTTCAGCCCCGAGTCCGACCACAAGACAAACTCTGTCCGAGCCAGCTCTTCCTGGTAGCCTCCAAGCCTCCAGCATTCCCATGCTTACCTAAGATAGATGGCTACAAAGTGGAGCATGAACAGCCAGACGAGCGAGCGCTCAGTATCTGCTGCTTTGCAGCAGCCAGAAGCTGATGCCAGAGTTGTCACTATGGGGTCAGGGAAGCAGTGTCTTTGAAGTCAGGAAAGTGGAGAGGAGAGGGCAGGGCATCAATCTTATTCCCCCGCCCCATCTGTTGAGCTCCAGACACAGCAAAGTGAGGTTAGACCTGAAGGAAGAGGCCTTAGCTGATGTTTGTGTATACGTGTGAATGAATGACTGCTGTGGGGAACTAGGAAAGCAACGATCGTCCTGCTCCAGGGGGAACTGTTTCACACACACTCATGAGCAATGTGAAATAAGGGAAATACTAAAGTTGGGGGGGGGGGATTTCTGGCCTTAGCCTTGGTCTGTTTTTGAACCAAACCTGTAACCCCAGCTAGTTAGGAGACTAAGAGAAGAGGATTGCCTGGGCCAGAGTGAGTTCACTGGACAACTTAGTGAGACCCTGTCTCTAGAAAAGAAATAGGTGTGTCGGAGCACATCTTAATACCAGCTCTCAGGAGGCAGAAGCAGGTGAACTGCTGTGAGTTCCATGCCAGCCAGGGGGACAGACCCTGTCTCAAAAAAGTAAGACATCGTGGCAATGGTGTCACATGCTTTTAATCCCAGCACTTGGGAGGCAGAGGCAGGCAAATCTCTCGAGTTCAAGGCCAGCCTGGTCTACAGAGGGAGTTCCAGAACAGCCAGGGCTCATGGAGAAACCCTGTCTTGAAAAACCAATAAATAAATAAATATAAAAAAGAGAGTTGAGGACAGAGTACAGCCCAGGAGTCAACACACTTTTTTAGCAAGTGGGAAGTTCTAGGTTCAACTCCAGTTGTGAGGAGCTGGGGTTCAGGGAGTCTTTGTTGTCCGAGATAGGGTCTCAGTATATATTTTGGCTGGCTTGGGACTCAATGTAGGTGAGGCTGGCCTCCAATTCACAGAGATTCACCTGCCTCTGCCTCCCAAATGCTGGGATCAGAGAAACATGCCACCACATCCAGCAGAATCAAGGACTTTTCTCAGGAGTGTGGACAGCTGGAATGATGCTCACTCCTGTCTCATGACTGTCACCTGATGACATAAATGTGACTCTGTCTATACCAGAAATTTCTCTTTTAGACCTGTCAGAGGAAAGAACTGAGCTTCTAAGACACCAAATTACGTGTCCAAAGTTACACAGCTACTCAATAATGGTGTCTTCACCTGTCACGTCTCCAGGGGTGCTGGCTAATCTGAAACCCGTTCTCACTGGACCATCCTGGCATCCCTGACTAAGAAGTAACTGTTGCTAAGCCAATGGGAACAGGTCAGGATGCACTGTGGAAGGTCCCCCTCCTTTCCAGGCCTTTGTCCCCTCACTTAGGCTCTCTGTGCGTGCATGCTTGCCAGTGTTCCCCAGAGGAGCCTTTTTGGTACTGCAAATGTGTCCAGCAGCTGATGTCTCTCATTTCTCTCCCTAAGACTCACTCACTGCTCAAGGTCACAGCAAATCCCCAGGGCCTCGGCATATCCCCAGTGTCCATGAGAACTCTCCTCTCGGTCATTCACACACACTCCTGTGCTGCCTTTCCATGTCCCCACACTGGCCCAAGTTCACAAGAGATGCTTGACATACGCTCCCCTCATGTAGGGTACTAGAAGGTGCATAGAAGTGCCTGGAAATGGCAGGTGAGACAAGACAGGGATCATAATCAAATTCAAATCTTTTTAAAAACAGGGACATAGGGCTAGAGACATGGCTAAATGGTTAAGAGAACTTGCTCTTGCAGAAAACCCATATGGTGGCTCACAACTCCCTATAGTCCAGCTTCAGGGGCCCATGTGCCTTCTGGCCTCAGCAGATACAAGGCGTTAATGTGCACAGACATACATGTAGCGTACACATATACCTAAAAATCAATTATTACTGGGCTGGAGAATGGTCACGATTTTGAGTTTGGGTCCCAGCAAACATGTCTGATAGCTGAAGATTGCCTGAAACCCCCAGCTTCGGAGATCCAATGCCCTGGCACATGGCCATTCATATACGTGTGTGAGCGCACATACACACACACAACTAAAAAATTGTTTTGAGACAGTCTCACTATGGCACCCTGGCTGGTCTGGAATTTGCTGTGTAGACCAGGCTGGCCTTGAACTCAGAGAGCTCCAACTGCTTCTGGTAAATTAAAGAGCTGGTATTAAAGGCATGTACCACCACACTCTACTGAAACCTTAAAAGTTGTTACTATTATGTGAATGAATATGTGATGCATGTGTGGAGCATGTACATGCCATGGCACATATGTGATGGTCAGAGAGTTGATGCCTTCCAACTTTTACATGGGGATCAAACTCTGGCAGGTTTGGTGGCAAGCACTTTTACTCAGAGTAATAGTGAAAGGAGTTTTTGGGTTTTGAGACAGGGTCTCACTGTGTAGCGCAGGCTGGCCTGGAATTTGTAATGTAGATTAGGTTGACCTGAAACTCAGAGATCTCTGTCTTCTGAGTGCTGGGATTAAAGCATGAACTACAAAAACCAGCTAATAGAAGGAGATACTTAGTACAGAGTTCAGCTCCACTAGTACCTGAGACACCTGTGCACAGCAGCATGCACACAACAGCAAGTGTGCACCAACACGCATTCTAACACACATGCACACAGTGGCATGTGCACAGCCACACATGTACCCTAACACATATGCATGCACACAGTGGCATATGGCACATACACACACATTCTAACACACATGCACACATTCTAACACATGATGGGGGATGTCCTTCCGTGTATATGTTTCTCTTACTGGTTGATGAATAAAACACTGATTGGCCAGTAGTAGCCAGGCAGGAAATATCGGTGGAGCTACCAGACAAGGAGAATTCTGGGGAAAGGAGGCAGAGAGAAGAGGCAAGGGAGACACAATGCTGCTGAAGGAGTTACATGCTGGATAACAGGTAACCCACAGCCTGAGGGCAATACATAGTTTAATAGAGCTAGGCTAGTAATTAAGAGAGCTAGCCAATAAGAAGCCTGAGCCATCAGACAAACAGTTTATAAATTAATATAAGTCCTTGTGTGTTTATTTGGGGCTAATCAACTATGGGACCAGGCAGAAAGAAACTAAGGCTACAAAATGGCACCCAATATGGGGCAAAACTTTCCACATAAAATCTCACCCACAAATATGGCCACTACAAGTTCACTGGCAAGGCAAGATGCCACTACATACATACACATGCACACAATGGCATATGTGCTCCCACACACTTTCCACTTTCAAAAATGCACAGTGACAGGTGTGCACACACAGACATTTTAACATATATACACAGAGCAGTACGTGTACATCCACACACATTCTAACACATGCATATACACAGGAACATGTGTGCACTTACATTCTAACGCATGTGCACACAGTAGTATGTGTGCATCCATACACATTCTAACACTTGCACACATTGGCAAGTGCACACACACACACACTTTCTAACACACATGCACACAGTGGCAAGTACACACACATTTTCTAACACATGCACATAGTGGCAAGTACACACACGCACACTTTCTAACACACATGCACACAGTGGCATGTGTGCACTCACACATTCTAACACATGTGCACACACACTGGCATGTGTGCACTCAAACACTTTCTAACACACATGCACACAGTGGTATGTTTGCACTCACACACACTTTGTAACATATGCACACGGTGGCATGTTTGCACACACACTTTCTAACACATGCACACAGTGGCATATGTGCACTCACACATTCTAACACGCATGCACACAGTGATATATGTGTGCACACACATTTTAACACACATGCACACAGTGGCATGTGTGCACTCACAACATTATAACACACACATGCACAGGGAGAAGTACTGCTCCCTTTGCTATTGAACTATTTATTGAACTATTGAAACAATGAACTCCAAAAAATTAAGATTTTTCAGGAGTCCCATGGTGGAGGAAGGGAAAGTCTAAAGTCCAGATCCTGGCCAGAGAAGGAACTTATCTGTGGAAGAGCTTTTATCCAATTCTGACAACATATCTGACCACCTTGCAGGACAGACCTGAAGTAAACAAGGACAGGTGAATGACATGCTGGACCACCACACCTTCACAAGGACCACTTAATGATACAGACTTCTTACCCTCCATTGAAACAGAAGCTTCATTTCAGTGCACAAAGATGGCTGTAAGTGTCACTGGGCCCCTTTATATCCCCTTTTCTTAGCATGACCACACTGAGTAAATTTCCCTTCTCATCTTTTGTCTATTCCTCTCTTGTTAGACAGGGTTTCACTGGCCTGGAACTTGCTGTTAGACCAGGCTGACCTCAAATCCCAGATTTGCCTGCCTCTGCCTCTCCTGTGCTGGTATTAAAGGCATGTGCCATTATTCATATCTTTAATAGGCACAGCAGAACAATTGGATGAACCTAGCTTGTTGGGGCTTCAGGAGCCCAGGCTGTTACCTAAAAAACTCTGGCACAGAGACTATTATTCCCATTTCACAGATGAAAAACTGAGCTAGGCATGGTGGCACACACCTTTAATCCCAGCATTTGGGAAGTAGAGGCAGGCAGATCTTTGAGTTTGAGGCCAGCCTGGTTTACAGGATGTGTCCCAGGACAGCCAGGGCTACACAGAGAAACCCTGTCTTGAAAAAAGGAAGGAAGAAAGACAGACAGACTGAGGCTCCATTGATTGACTTATACAAAGTCACAGTATGCAATAGAAAAAACTAAACATCTAACCATCCCTGAAATCAAATTTCATTGCCCAGGACTAACTTGCAAGAATACACTGCAGAGAAGTCTTGAGATAGAAGACATAAAGTTGCTTTTTTATTCCAAAAGTTTGTGAGGAAGGCTGTGGCTTGTCCTAGCATCCAAGGCCCTGAGTTTGGTCCCCAGCATTGAAGGGGAGGGGCCCTGAGGACATACAGTAAAACTTCAAGTAACAAGTTTCTGTAGCGTCCTGTTTTTGTAAACAGATAAGATAAAATTATGACAGCATCATTTTTGTTAATATGCCAAGTGTTTAATAATTGTTTCCATGTAAGCACGTCTATGTTAGTAATTTGCTTGTGAACCTTCTTTTTCTTCCAAATCAGGTCAT